CCGCGGCACGGTTAATGAATGGGGGAATCCTGCACAGTTTCCCCCTCCTTTTCTTGTAATACGTCACAATTTTGGAGGTCTCACATTCAAAGATGAATAGAATAGAAGTGTCGGTACTGAAGAAATAGGCCCATGGCCTGTTGCCGATTCTTGAATTTTTCGTGACTTGATTCACAAGGGATCCGTCTTTGGAACCCGATCTTTCCATAGCTGACGATTGATTGAGATAGCTGCGGGACTTATTGCCGGTCCGCAATTTGCTAGGCATTTTAAGACTGAACATATGCTCCTGCATAGCTTCGTCTAGTCTGTTCCTGAAGGCGTTCATACTCGGAGCGTCAACGATGCCATCAGGGAGGCTGTTCCACATAGAATAGAAGTAGAATAGAAGTGTGTCGGCGTTGAAGAAATAGGCCCATGGCCTGTTGCCGATTCTTGAACTTTTCGTGACTTGATTCACAAGGGATCCGGCCTTTGGAACCCGATCTTTCCATAGCTGACGATTGATTGAGATAGCTGCTGGACTTATTGCCTGGTCCGTAAGACGGTGACTCGAAGCGAGAAGAAATGTTGTCGCATGGATGTGTTACAACGCAGTTTTTTAGTTTATAGCCGTGGCCCCTGGTTTTGGTTCTTGTTTCAAATTCTAGTAATCCTTCTTGGACTTGTATAATCCATGAGTATACTTGTATGCTTCAATGAGTTCCTCACGCAGACGTCGATACTGAGGCTTGGAAGCTTCATAATCGTTAATCTTTCCTCATATGACTTGCCTTTCAAGCCCGGAATTATCCTTGTTGCACATGTCAGGCTTATCTTTTGACTGGCGCAATGATTTATAATATGAGGTCGCCAGTTTATCAGACTGTAAATAACGCTGGTAGGCTTCCTTCTTTGTTTTCAGCTTAGCTATAATTGTAATGTTTATCCACTGTTTTTTTTGCTCCACCAAGCTTAATTTTAGGTACACATGCATCAACTGCACACAAAACCGTGTCCTTGAGAAATGACCATGACTCAGCCACATTCAAGTCCTTAATACAGTTCGAAATATTCATTGCATTGACTGCTTCACGGAGTTTATCATAGTCGCCTTTCGCAAAATTCAAACGCTCACGCTTTCGAGGCGTCTTCTCTGTACAGCATTTAGCCTGAAAAACAATGATTGGTGATAGCTTTTGCCCAATGCAGCTTCGTGACGAAGCTCATCTAACATCGATTCATTACTAGTAAACACCAGGTCTAGAATATTGGGATTCTGTTTACTTCTATAATGGGTTGGCTTAGTAACGTGCTGGACTAGGAAGAAGTCAGTGCTGGACTAGGAAAGTGGGAGCCAGTCCGATTATCATCTTCCACACGTACAGTATGATATACCTCTCTCGTTTCCTCTCCAGTGAGTACAGTCCCAGGTGTTTTGCACCAATCCTCTCGCAGGATAGGTCCTCTGTGATCTCCATCAGCACTCTTGTATCGTCCTCAAATGACGATGTAGATGCGTGGGTATGCTTCAAGTCGATATCGGCTATGTGGATGAGGAAGATCGGTCCAAACACCAAGCCTTGTGGCACTTTGCTTTTCACCCTCGCTTTTCTCGATTTCGAGTTTCCAATTGCGACAGCTTGTACTCTATTTGTAAGGAAGTTGTGAATCCACCCTAATAGGTTTCCTCCTACCCCCAAAAGTCTCAGCTTTCTGAAAAGCACCCAAATGTTCATTTTGTCGCAAGCTTTAGCACAGTCCATGTATACCACATCCGTGCCAGCTCCCTCCTCCAGTAGAGCCATAAGGCGGTGAAGATGTTCCAGTAACTGTAACAACTAGGAACGANCAATAACATCACGTGAGTAAAATTTGAGAAATTGCGACGCAAGACAAGATTTTAGAGTTGAAGCGTGATTTCGCGTACAGTGTGTTTATTTAGGGCCATAAGGCGGTGATAATGTTCCAGTAACTGTGACAAACAGGAACGATTTCGCCCGAAACCATTTTGTCCATTATTATACAGTTCAGCCTCTTCCATATACTGGACAAGCTTCCTGGCCACTTTATCTTCTCAATAACCTTGAGCACCTGTGAGGTCCAGGTCACCGGTCAGCAATTTTGTGGTCTGTCCCTCGGGTCTCCTTTGTGGATTGGCGTTATCAGTCCCACTTTCAGGCCCTCAGGAATAATTACCTCCATCATCGAGTCTTTCCAGAGCATTGTGAGCGGAGCCTTTAGAGTTCCAACACACTTCTTCGATAACACTGCCGGAATTCCGTTCGGTCCTGGTGCTGAGAACGTTGCCAGTTCTTTGTTACTTACTTCCATATCTTCTGGTCCATACTCAATGTTCTCGAACCCTCTTCCGCCTGGCAGCTCCTCGAGAACTTCGATTTCATTCTCCTGCCTTGAGTAGCGGGGGTTACAGAAGACTGATTCAAACTGCGATCCCAGTAGACACACTCAGCAGCAGGTGCTGCGTACAACACACTCAGCAGCAGGTGCTGCGTACCACACACTCAGCAGCAGGTGCTGCGTGCAACACACTCAGCAGCAGGTATTGCGTGCAACACACTCAGCAGCAGGTGCTGCGTACAACACACTCAGCAGCAGGTGCTGCGTGCCCACACTCAGCAGCAGGTGCTGCGTGTGACACACTCAGCAGCAGGTGCTGCGTGCAACACACGCAGCACACCTAGTATAGTTTTAAGGTAATATGCGAGACATATGTTTAGGAATTCTTTTGTATCTTAAAACCACACCCAGCCTTCAAACTATAATTTTCGGGTCCATATTCGTAGCAAAAATTTAGCATTAAATTTATATAAACTGGCTGGCACCACTCCTAGCGATTTTGTGTTATTGCGGGTTCGCGGTTTCAGGATTCCCTTTAGAACGTTCCAAACTGCAACGCATACGGCATCAGTTTTCGCGTTTCGTCTTTATCTTCGACGGCTGTGATATAAATGTGGCTACACACTTATCGTCGTGTGAGGCCTGCCGTCATGACGGGCTAAGAACTCATCTCCTGGCATTACCTCCCGAGCTCCGGTCGGAGCACCCACCATCTTCCGCCACCTGCCCCAGCTTCAGCTTCTTATGAAACGTGAGTCCGCAGTACCACGAGGTAGTGCGAGTGTGTGCCAGACTGTTTCTGAAGCTGACTTAGCTTAACTCTTCCCCTTGCTTCAACTATAATAAAAGTGCTGCCGTGCAAGTGAGATATTTCTATAATTTTATTAAGAGTTATAACTTGAAATTAATTTATAGATAAATTCATGCTGGCGTGCAATTGATTCTTAATAAAGGGGCTGTGCCCTGAATGGATAATTAATTTATTTCTCTAATTAATAATTAGATAAATTTACCAAATATTATGTGAGTGATAGATTAATGATAATTAAGAGATAAATCTAAATATAATTGTTTCCTGTAGATTTAGGAGATATTAACAGATTAATATTTTGTACATTCCTTTTTTCTTAAGACAGCACTGAACGAAATTGCATGGGGTCGTGGGCTGCGGTGCTATCGCGACGTGTGATTGGGTCCTAAGCCGGCTCAAGCTCACTCACCCGGCCCAGTCAGGCTACTTGGGCCTGAACTTTCTCTTTAAAATCCATGAATAAAGGAAATAATTTTTGCAGTAATTAACAGTGTTTTATTGCCATCTCCGACCCCTATGCGCTAAGTTTTCGTTACAGCAGCATGTGCTGCGAGCAATGCAATCGGCAGCAGGTGCTATGTGCAACACACCTTATGACCTTACCTTATGACCTTATGATGAGTTTAGGACGTCGCAGTCCACGGTCACGCTGATGCGCCGCCTTCGTCGTCCTCCGTCTCCGAGTCGTCGTCGGATGTAACGTTGGGCGTGTTCCGTCTATTTGCCCTCAATAGGGCACGCTGATGCAAGATGCTGTTGCTTGTCACTTGCTGATGGTAGTTTCCCATTACTGGACAATCCGGGATCTTTCTCAACCACTTGTCCAGTTGTCTCTTGAATGTTGCAAGGGTAAACTCCCCTCTTCTCAGCTCTTTTGGCAAGGCATTAAAGAGCCTCGGTCCTACCACGGACAGTGATCCCTCACGAAGAGTCTGTACTCTGGCCGCGGCTCGGTTAACACTCAGCAGCAGGTGCTTCGTGCAACACTCAGCACATTTGAGTATGTACACATACTATCAGGTAAGGCCTCGGCCTTGAAGATGACGAATTTGGGAGTCGCTCGTGTGCCACAGCCAAGTCGTATTCCGGAGCATCCCTTCCGTATACTGGTTCATCTTTCCTTGGCGTCAAAACTGCGGATTATGTAAATACTGTGACACAAGCAGCCTTCTGCACAGCGGGTGTGACTACCGCCAGTTGCGCTATGCTCACTGCACCTGCTACAGCTGGGTCAACCAAAGTGCCACGCAGTCCTTTTGTCCTACCATCTAAGATTTGGTTACGAGATTCCGTGCGCTGCATCAAAAACTAATTTTGATGAAGTGGGACTGAGTACACCTAAAGTTGAACCTTGCCAGAACAGCAGCTTTATCTTGACAATCATCCAATGCGTTCAATATTAATAAATAAATAATGAAATAAAATAATTGCTGATGGAATAAAAAATACTTTTATTATTATAATGGTAAAAAAATAATAAAATACGTTGAAATAATCATAAATACTTTTAGATATTATTTAATGTAAGTTATATAAATTTTCCACTAGTGACTTTTTTGACAAGTCCATGGAAAGTTATTAAATTTCATGATTATAATGATTGGAGTTAAAATATAATTTAGCTCTACAGCTCTAATTAAAGAAGAAAGTATATTTGCATTAGTAACAGTACCTGCTTGCTACCGCTGTTTAAATCAATTGACTGTGGTTAATTAGAATTAAATGTGGTATCAACAAGAATTGTTCAGCCATGATTTATGCAAAACCCATCATTACCTATTACCTGCTCTGCCGAAAGGTCAGTCAGCCAGAGTCTTGCTCAGATAAGTCTGATTCAGATCATTTGCAAATAATTCATCAATTGTATGGGTATCAGCAACTGGCTCAACGATGATGACTTTTCCAAATGAGTTAGAAGCAGCAAGCTCTGTCTCCTGGAGTTGCTCAACTGAGTCTCTGAGGATAGCTCTAGTTTTGGTGCCAGTAGTTCCTTGAGCAGGAGTAAGCCAGCTCTCCTCTTCAGATATACTTGAGTCAATTGCGAGCTGCCTAAGGCCATAACCGGCCATTAAAAACAACTAGATTGATAATAACGAAATAATCGTGTTCCGATTTCCTAGCTTATGACGATTATTGATGTGACATGTGATGATATGAAGATATTTCTAATTCTAGAGACGAGCTTTGTTACATTTTTTCATGTATTATTAGCATGGCTATAATAAGCGTTAATTAATCTTAAGGGACGGGCTAATTAACGCTGAATTAAAGACTAAGTAAGTTTCTGAATTATGTGAAGAAAACAGGACTTTACGGAGAATTTTTTCAATATGCTTAACTCCGAATTAATTAATTGCTTTATAGTTTATAGTTATACAATGTCAGTGCGAGTATAATTGCTAAAAATGCAGCCCTTGACGAACGTTACGAATGTTGAATTATTATGTTGCAAACTTAATGACGAGCAGCAACAATAAGAGTACGTAGTAGCATTGCTATTGTAACGCGCCTGCACGTACAGTTTATGTGCGTGACAACGACGTACACAGAACGTTCAGAGATCAAGGCCACGCGGCTCGACATGTAGCTTGCCGTGAGAGCCAAGTGCTCTGGCACTGAGATGCTCGCAATGCAAAGAGAGAGAGAAACGAGTGACTCGCTATAATTAAATGAGCAGTCAATTCGATTTTGTCACTACATTAAATAAATTACATTAATGACGTTAATATTGACGTTAAAATTAATGCACTTAATGACGTTAATAATTAATTTTATGTAATTATCATTAAATTAAAAAGAGAATAAATGTGCAATTAAACTCTCTGTACTCTTATAACAGGGGAACAACGTTATAAACGAATATTACGTTACAACAAATTGTACGTATTTGTTGCAGTGCAGTGTACCACCACTGCATCCACCACTGCCTCCACCACTGCCTCCACCACTGCCTCCACCAGTGCCTCCACCACTGCATCCACCACTGCATCCACCAGTGCCTCCACCACTGCCTCCATCGCTGCCTCCACCACTGCCTCCACCACTGCCTCCACCACTGCATCCACCACTACATCCACCACTGCATCCACCACTGCCTCCACCGCTGCCTCCACCACAGCCTCCACCACTGCATCCACCAGTGCCTCCACCACTGCATCCACCACTGCCTCCACCGCTGCATCTACCACTGCCTCCTCTGCTCACTTCATCCTCTATCGTTAATTCTTTTAAACTCACGATCTACGTTAATTCTTTTAAAAATAATTTGACGAATTTATCGATTCTATAGCTTAACTGCTGAATGCAAGTATGCTTCAATTAAATAAGGTATCAGTAAGCATGTTCTTCCGATGTAATTTTTACCGTGTCCAATTCACGAAGGCCAATTTCATAAGCATACAGTAATTGTCGAATATATTAGAGAATGGGAGTATAGCAATTTACGATCATTGTAAAGATTGATATCGCTATTTACTATGTACACTAAGATGATTATTCACGAAACGATAAGTATCGAATAATGAATACAATTGCTTAAAGGACGATTACGTGCATACTTGAGGTAATGGAAACGTGTAGAGTGAAAAATCGAAGCAATAGCATACGTGCTTATGCGATTGGAGGAAATTCAATCACTAGCCCATAACCTACAACCTAAAACTGATGAGAGCATTGCCTCTTAAAGCGACTCACAGTCCACAGCTTGATTTATCTCACGATCGAACAGACGATCGTAATACGAGGTGACGAATTGAAGTCAATCGTTTTATGAATCGCAATTCAACTCAATAAGTTAATTCTTTTTAAGAAGGGAACTTGTTTTGCGGTCAATGAGAATAGTAACAACATATAGGTAACTGTTATTAGTAACTTACCAACGATTTGCATCCGAGTTGAATTAATTCTCGAAATTATTTTTGTTTATGATTATGGTTATGATTATGATTATGGTAGCCAGTAGATGCAGTGTACCTCGATTTTGCCAAGGCATTTGACAGTGTCCCACATGAGCGGCTGTTGCGTAAATTGAAGTCTTTGGGAATTGAGGGTAATGTACTCAAATGGATCAGAGATTTTCTAGTAGGGAGGCGACAACGTGTCAGTATTAATGGGTCCGTATCAGACTGGGCTTCAGTGNCGTACGTACACCAATTTATCTTTCTAATTTGAATTATTTTGATGATGTTGATGATGTGTTAATTTTTAGAGACAAACCGCGATGTTATTGTGAATTCAGCATGGCTAAAAACGTTGCAAGCAACGGGCTGATTTTATAAATAACGTCAATGCAAGTCTCTGAATACGAAGTGACGAATTAAAGGCAATCGTTTTATGAATCGCAATTCAATTCAATAAGTTGTTCTTTGCAGTAAGAAACCTGTTCTGCGATCAATGAGAATAGTAATAACATATAACTGTTATTAGTAACTTAACGACGATTTGCACGCGAGATAGAAAAGTAATGATGCACATCAGCGATGTGGTGAGAAATTTTTCCTGTTCATGGTCACATGAGGAATTGTTTACAAAAACAAGCTTCCGCCGTCGCGTCTCAGAAATCGAATCGGATTTAATCCTGTTTCAATGTTCATGATTTTGCTGATGTCAGCGAATTACAATGGTCGTATCAGCAAACCAAGAGATTGAGTGTGATTGCGAAGTAATGTACTCGTGATCAGAAATCAACACAGGCGTGAAAAGGTGTTGATTATTTAGAGATCGCATTATGCGATGTTGTCACATTGCATTTCCTGTTAATCAATTTCTGCTTACAGCGAAATTCCTTCATTAACTCAATTGCGACTTGGTCGAACAACTGTTGATTAAAGATTTTATTATGAATTAACAAAGTAGTAAATGCTTCTTAACTATATAAACTTTAATTAGCGTTCGTATAATAATATATGATTATAATATAGATTATTGATTCAAACAGAAGATGTCTACTTCCTTTTATTCCTTAATTTTTATTCCATAAATTATATTTGCATATAATTTATGTGTTGAACTTTGATTTTTAGTTCGATATTAGCTCACGATATTTCTTGGACTGTCCGCTTTAAAACATACGGCAAACTATCAAATTTTAGTTTATCCTCGGCAGAGTTTCTTTTTCATAAAACATTTTAAACTGTCAGGTTGGTTGTACCTTTACGTTATCCGAGTGGTCAAACGAGGCGCGTATAGAAGGTTCTCTACTGCTGGCAGTGCGATTTAACAAGGGAAAAGATACAAATAAGCATGTCAACTCTTATATACTTAAAAACAGCAAATCCCACCCTAATACAGAGCTGGGCACGGCAAAAATTGGCAACAAATTTCTAGGCCTAGCCTACCCGTACTTGAAATTCCCAACGAAGGCTACAATGCACGCTAATAATTTAATCTTCACAATAGTACAAATAAAGAGGGCTAAAATGGGGATATTATTTCACCCGATCCCAAAAGGGGTGCATCACCGGCTGGAATGAAGTCGAGCGTCGGCAGACTTCTGACTTCTTCGGGACTCGTTCGGTCACACTCCGGCAATACTAGGATTTGGCGTTGGTTTCTTCGGCG